TTAGGTACTAATCAGCAAAGTATAATATTAGTCAAGCTTAAAAGTCATTAAAGCTTACCACACTAATTCAGCTAAGTAGACACATATTAAGATGATTCTGTAATCACCTAAGTCTAACTTTTGGATCCGGTCTGCCACAGGAAAATATCCTGAGACTTATATATCCTTTTTCACTTTTCTTCTGCATACTCTTTCAGTTTTAAGATTCTCTTCTTGCTGTGCTGGCCTGGTTTCTTGGACTTCTCCAAACATGAAGGACCCAAGCAAGATGAGTATTTCATGCTCCAAACTTACTCATAGTTTCTTCTTATAAAAATCTATCTCCTTTGATCCAGTCCTTCAAACTTCTACTTTTTCACTAATTAACCTAATAAATAATTTCACCTTTAATATAGGCTACTGATAATGTCATCCTTTTTACCCTTTCTATATCACATGTCCGACTGAACAGTGACCTCGATGCCTTGATGCGGACCCCTGACAAGTTCTATGAAGGAGAAGCAGGGCACTGGGAAGTGTGAGTTTTAGTTCCTCCCCATTTCTGAGACCAGGCAGCTCAGTATAGTCACCTCCAACTTAGAGGACTACTTACTTCCCAGAAAGGTTGTCGGGATTACAAAATTCAGAGACCATTGATATTAACTATATGAAAATGCTAACAATTAAAAAGTGTCATATGATATCATTATCATTATTACTACTATCATTCTGGTTAGTTGTATATATCTCTCCAAATAAATAAACCTCCTTAGAAAACAAATGTAAAATAACTCCTTAGTAACTTCAGGCATTTTAGAAAACCTTTCCCTAAAAGAGTCCTTCTTTTCATTTCTTTTCTACTTTAACTAATGATGACCAATTACATAAAGTCTCAAAAGAGTCAGCTTATTATAGGCTAGTCAGTGCCCAATAAATAAAATAAATAGCTCATTTACTTTTATGTTTATTTTTTTATTGTTCAATTACTGCAGTCCCCATTTTTCCCCATTACTCTCCCCCTGCCCTACTCACCCCCACTTCCCACATTCAATCCTCCCCTCCAGTTGTCTTTGTCCACGGGTCCATTATACATGTTCCTTAACGACTCTTCCACTTCTTTCCCCCCATCCCTGTTCCCCCTTCCCATCTGGTTACTGTTAGTTTGTTCCTTATTTCCGTGTCTCTGGTTCTATTTTGCTCACTTGTTTGCTTTGATGATTAGGTTCCACTTATAGGTGAGATCATATGGTATTTGTCATTTACAAAGGAAAAAGAAAAAAGTCAGGTCTCGAATGTCAAATATCTTTCTTATTCATCTTCTCATTTTCTCATTATGCTCATATGTTTATTTAACAGAAAGGAATACAGAATTTTTAAGATTAAGAATGCCATAGGAATTGTGAAATTAAAATGTCATTGATATAACTCTTTCTGGATCATTGATCTAGAAAAAATATTTGCTACATTTATGAACTAAAAAGGTTACAATCAATAGCTGCTGCTTGGTATTTCCTTCCTCAGATTTTGCTATTGTTGGTTCACTTTTAAAAAACAGACTTAGCTGACAAATCTAGCTTTAATGTTCACAGCTGTGGGCATGTTAAGAGACATTCCAGAACACAAGGGAGGAGAAGAGGGAAATTCCAAAAGAATGACTTGCTAATAGGGGGACCATAAATATCCAAACCTAAATGCTGCTTTACCTCACTCAGATATTCACAAAGTATATTAAACACAGGTGAACCACTGGAGAAAAGTTTCTGAGATTCTGCTACCCACTTACTAATATCAAATATCCAACATGGGAACTTAGCAAATAGAGACAGTGAGTGTTGAAATCACTCTAAATGGTTTTCAACGTTTGTGGCATGTTCATAGTGTTGCAATATATGACTAAAAATTTGTTTTGAAATTTTTGCATTTCCTATGGTAATAAAGAAAAAAGTTCTGTTTTGTTCTAATTCTCCATTCTTATCTAGATAAAGAAACAATTTTTTCTTGAGTTACCAAAAATACAATCCTAAGAAACATTACAGAAGTATGTTTTGCATCTATAATATCATCAATCTGACATAAATTTTTAAAAATCCATGTTTTCTTTATAATAAAAGCAGCTACCACATAGAAATTATGTTCAGGATCCTGATATTAATTTATAAGTGTATTGTTTATATTCCATATTTTTCCAAAAAGAATTGAAAGGTTATGTTGACATTAGATAAAATTGTAGAATTTTCAAGAATTCAAGATCTAATCATTGGTGAAGGAAAACAAGTAAAATTGACTTAGAACAAATTTCTGCATATAAGAACACTGTGTGAACACTATAAAAAGAAAGCAAAAATCTTATGAGTCAATTTGTAATTACTCGAGAAAAGTCTGACCAAAAAAATTACTTTCTTTTTTACCCCACTTAGGCACTTCGGGTTGTTAGGTATTATTAAGTAAACCAAGTACTATAAACAAAATATATCTGAATTTTAGAAAGTAATTAGAAAAAGACTCTAACTGTATTTTTTTTAGATATGAGGGAGATATGTGGGCTTTGGTGGAATTCACAGATAATAAAACAAATCTTTGCAAAAAGTGATGGATGAAAGATTATCATAGCCTGAATGATGACATGTTTTTATCATTATGAGTTTATGAAGACATACTGAAGTTTAAAAATGCCAGAAAGTTCCTTTAAAAACATTAATACAAACTCAGCTCATACTCCAAAGATAGTATTTACATCAAGTACACACCCCATTATAGTCTCTGATGTGGAAACATTGTTTGGAATCCTGGTTTGGTTATCGCATAATCCCCATGCTACAGGGGACGTGGCAAACAAGACTATGTCCAGGGAAAGAATCAGAGGTGCCAAAGTTTTTCAAACTACACAATATAAGAATTGGTTAAAAGAACGGATTGTGTTTTGACTGAAAAGACAGTCTCAAACAATGTATGCTAACTGCTTCTAACATGTGGGGATTGTTAAAAGGAAGAAGGATAGCACTCAGGCTATTACCTGAGAAATAGACCTGAGACCAATTGTTACAAGGGGTTGTAAGGAATATAAGAAAATGTCTAATAGAAAGTAAATAGAAATAAACTCCTTCTGAAAGAAACATGAAAACACTGTGACTATCAGGGATGTGCAGTAGAAGGGAAATTGACTAGTGCTCAACTCCTGACCTCATCTCTTTTTTTGTTTTCGGACCTTGGTCCTGTTACTAAGCTTCTCTGACTTGTTTCCTTATCTATAAACTGGTTGTCCTTACCTTGGACAAAAGTGGGTTAGCTCTCAGAATACTGAAGTAAGGGAGAGGAAAGGCTGAACTAGACGGCTGCCATGGTTCTTTCTATTTCTAAGGCTCTACTATTTTATAATAAAAGAAAAAATATGTTTCATCTCAGATGAGGAATTATTGATCAGAATTTCATTTATTCAATATATATGTACCGTGTGTCTGCTATGTGCAGGCACTTTTCTAGGGATATAAAAGTGAAAAAAATGCACAATAATTCTTGGCTTCGTAGGCCTTATATTGTGTGGGAGGAGATGAACCATAAGCAAAACAAGTATATTCCACAGTATATTAGAAGGTAATAAGTACTACATAAAAAAATAAACTAAATTTGAAGTTTTACATAGGGTCAGGAAAGCTTCAATGAGAAGTGACATATAAACCAAGACACATGAATTTCATCAACAATTTTAAAATTAATTGTATTATGCAATCCATCAGAAACCAAACCCTATGATCCAAGTAATGCTCCAAATACTGTAATTTCATCAAAGAACATTATGGGCTGAAATATGTCCCTCCAAAATTCATATGTTGACATCTTAACTTCCACTTCTTCATAATGTAACTGTATCTGGAGACAAGGTTTTTAAAGAGGTAATTAAGTTAAGATCATTAGGATGGGTCTTAATTCAATATGAATAGTGTCCTTAAAAGAAAGAAGAGATTAGCAAACAGACTTGGACGGAGGCATGACGAAGTGAACATTCAGGGAGAAGATGACCATCTGCGAGCCTAGAGGCTTCAGGGGAAACCATCTCTGCTAACACTGGGAACTCAGACTTCTGCCTCCAGGACTGTGAGATAGTAAATTTCTGTTGTTTAAGCCACCCAGTCTGTGGGGGGTTGATATGGCAGTCCCAGCAAACGGACACTGAGAATATTGCAGTACATAGACCTAGTTTAAATATTAAGTTTAGGATAATGCAAGATGGCATAGTCATTTTTATAACACCTCAGAATCTTTATAAACTTGATATTTAGAATTTCTATATGTATTCTTTTGACATACTGCATTAAAAACTTTTAAACCTTTTTATTCGTTGGGAGGGGGGATTTGGAGGAAGAGAGAGAAAGAGAGAGAAAAACATCATTTTGTTTTTCCACTTATTTCTTCATTCATTGATCGTTTCTTGTACATTCCCTGATGGGGGATCAAACCTGTAACCTTGGCCTATCAGAACAACTCAAACCAAATGAGCTAAGTGACCAGGGCTTTTGCACTGAAAATTTTAAACCTACTTGTTTCCCTGCAAATATACTCTACTGAAAAGATGTCTTTAAATATATACATATCACAAGGACTTCACAACTAATAATAACTAGCTTCTGTTGTAAGTAAACTTTCAGGATATGCAAAACATTTGTTTTTTATCAAAATAGGTATAGATAAACCTATTGAGGTTTAAGATGGCAACTCATAATCTTACAGAATGTTCATGTACAGAAGCAAACAGGCACTGTTACCAGATTTTAGTTTCCCCTGCCTCATTCGAATCTTCTGTCCTAATTACTGACGGGGGTTAGCACAGCCTTGCTGCACACCCGTCATCCACTGGCCACCTGCCCATATACGCACTCTGCACATGAAGGAAACATGAGTATACATTTAAAATATTCTTTAACTTAAAGAATCTTGTTTCCTATTCTTTCTATTTCTATTACAATTTCCTATTAGTGAAATAAATTAGTTTTAGAGATAAAAAATAAGTAAATAAATATACTTACATGTCCCATTAATTTAGATGCTTTCTCAAATTCTTCACCCTCCTCCATTAGTGCTTCTTCAGTCCCAGGTAAAGAGTCTATTTTTACCAAAAGAACGAATGACTTACGATCATATATTGCTTGACTCTGATCTACAAGCCTATTATGAGAAGGATATTGAAGTGATGGAACTGGTTGTTGAAAAATCAGTGTTTGTGAGTTAAAGTAAGAGTGTAAAATGTTACTCAGCTTAACAAACACCTATGAAAAATGTTAAGGATTTCTAATCTAGGAGGACACAATGATGTCAGGAATGTTCATGACATACTGTTATCTTGAATAGGGCAAAGTTTCTTTTAGCATATTATTCAGCTAATTTTTGGAACTTATATTTAATATCCTTTGTCCAGTTTATAACTTTGTATTTCTTTGTTTTACCATCAACTGTCTTCCTTTTCTTTTCTGGCCACACAAATATCATTTTGTATTCTTTCTTTTATGTTTTCTTTTAAATATTTTATTGTTTATGCTATATCCTAAGAATCCCCAAAACATCAATTCAAAAGAACATGTACACCCCAATGTTCACAGCAGCATTATTTACAACAGCCAAGATTTATATTCTTTCTTTTAAACAGGATGCAAAATTATGACAATTTTGGAGAAGAGTGTATATTATTAAATGACAGTAACTTTTCCATTTTAATGTATGAAGCATGAAGTCGTGACTGCTTACCTTGAGGAGCAGACTGAGGAGTGCAAGAGTAGTGACTTTCAAATGTGTGAATAAAGGGATGGCAAGCCTTTCCCTGTCTTCTGACTTAAATTAATTATAATAAGGAATTATGTGAGTTACAAAAAATTGTGCAATAAGGACAGTGACATAGAGCACTTAGAAATCATCTGTGTTTTAATACCTTCTTTTCAAGTAAAAAATATTTAACACCACTGGAGACTTCTAAAATTGATTTCTTATAATTATTAATATTTGAAAGAGCCAGGTAAATTCCTAAAATTCTTCAGATACACATAAATATGGAGATGGGCTTTTCCACTGGATAAAATGTACACTCTGGGTGGAAACTGAGAGCATTGAGTCCGTGAAGCCCTAATGGAAACAATTAGGGCTTGGGAAACAATGGAAAACTCAGCATAAATCCATTATCATGGCTTTTGCATCAAGTAGCTTCTTCTACCTTTGATAATTCAGATTTTTAGATTCAATAATCCCAGGGCACTTAGTTTATCAAGATGTAAATGTAGGTCTCATCCTAGAACATGGAATTCTTTCCACTATAAAACTAACTTTGGGAAGACTACTACATTCTCACGCTGTAAATAAATAAAAAAATTTTACCTACCACGCTACCAAACAGACATTACAAAACAAATTTTTATTGACAAAGATCTATACAGATGATGAGAATTAAGCCAAGTTCAAAATATTAATACACTTACAAAGAATACTTGAACCCTTATTTACCAATTTTTAAGGTTGACAATAGGCTTTTTAAATTAGGATGCATAAATTAGAATGATTTAAGTCCTCTAAGACCAAATTATAGTCTAGTGAGTTATGAGTAAATACCAATATAATTTTAGCATTTACTCAGTATTTTTCCTCTTTGATTTGTATTGAAATTTTTATTTGGGTAGAGTATTGACTTAATAAATAATATTAAAATATTCTATTCTGCATTACAAAGCAAATTATTTCATATATAGGAGAAGAAAACCCACCATCAGGTGGATCTGCTGATATTTTAAGGTTAGAAATACTATAATATAACAGTTTTCAAGTTCTCAGTAAGTAGTTTTAAAGAGGTATTATCATTCTGATTAATTGTTTAAGGCATGTATGGATTAATCAGTTCATTCATCCATTTATCTGTGTATTTGTATATTCAATTTTCAACAAACATGTATGTCAGACACTCAACTAGGTGCTTTCATAACAAGTTGAACAAAATAATTTTTTGACTCTCTTTTATAGTCTGTTCTGTTCTTGCTTTGATTGAATTCTTCTGCTTATTGGTACAATATCTAGAAGGATCAAAACTACAATGAACTCCATTGAGGGTAGCAAAGGACAGCTGCGAGGTCCTGCCAGGACATTTCTGAATTTACATATCTAACCATATTAAAAGTTGTTACTTGAAAGAACTCTGCTAAATGGTTCAGATCTACAGAACACCAACATAACATGCTGGTAGAGACATGAGATATCATAAAAATGAAATCATAGGTTCATGGTCAGAGCTCCATTGTTAAAAGTATTTTAGTACATTGCTGATTAACAATAACTGGTGGGTGTGTATGTATAAACTATTTTGCTCTGTTTACTTACTCTTATAAATCTCCATCACTTTAAAAATATAGGCAATGAATTCTTTGAGCTTTTTAAAATCACACTGAGGCAAATGTCAGTTTCCAAATTGGTCAAATATTAGAGTTTATCTTGTCTCTTCATTTTAGAGAAGAAGATAATTTTGTCACAATCTAAGTCTCTGGCAGCATTTGAACTAGGAAACTGCCTCTGTTGTAACTGGACAGAAACCTAGAAATCTGGCTATGAATGCGGCCCAACACAAAATCGTAAATTTGCTTAAAACCCTTTCTTTCCTCATCAGTTTTCATCAGTGTTTGTGTATTTAATGCATGGCTCAAGACAACTCTTCTTCTTCCAGTGTGGCCCAGAGACGCCAAAAGGTTGGACACCCACAGAAGGAAAACACATGTCTTTACAAATCAGGACTTTTCTCTTTTCAAATAAATAGTTGTTAATATTTATTAGCATTCCATTGGTTTTTATCCATCTTACGTGTAGTTGAAATGCACATGGTTTCCTACAATGTAACAATTCTACAATGTATCCATTTTCCTGTCCTGGAGCATGCTAAGAAGGGTATTTGGGTGTCATGACACATGACTTGTTTCTCTAAGACATCTTCCTAAAAGAGGAGTACCTCAGTTGACTAAGTCACATAAATGCTCAAGAGTTTAAGATAATAGAAAAAAATTCCAAAATTGTTTATTTCCCATATGCAGTGCATGACTCTCCTTTTATCCATGTCTTCACCAGCACTTGGCTTTGCCAAATTTCTTATTGGTAAACAAAAGGTTGTAAAACAGTATCTCTCTGTGATCTTTTTTTTAAAGATTTTATTTATTTATTTTTAGAGGGGAAGGGAAGGAGAGAGGGAGAGAAGTATCAATGTTTGATTGCCTCTTGTGTGTCCCCCGCTGGGAACTGGCCTGCAACCCAGGCATGTGCCCTGACTGGGAATCAAACCGCAATCGCCTGGTTCACAGGCCCACGCTCAGTCCACTGAACTACATCAGTCAGGGCTTTCTGTGATCTTAATTTGCTTTTCCTTGATTATCAGAATAGTTAAGCAGCTTTCAAATGCTCATTGGCCAATGTGTTTCTTCTGTGTAATGCTAACTCATACCCGTTGCTTATTTTCCTATTGGTTTGTTGAGCTTTGCTTTATTAAATTGTAGATGTCCTTTATGTGTTCTGAATATTAATATTTGATCAGTGACAAATACATTTGCTTATTTTGTGGCTTATCTATTCACTTTTTGTGGCATCCTTTGATGAACAGTAGTTCTTAACTTTCTATAGGGACTTTTTTTTTTATCCTTCTCTCTCATAGTTAAGAATTTTTCCACCTGTTTAAGATGTCCTCCTTTACTCAGATGTAAAAAATAAATATGTATTTTTAGAGTTTCTCTTTTAATTATCCAAGCTAGATGTCCAACTGATTTCTGCCGGAACACTGAATGGAACAGCCGTGATAATGGACCTTTGATGCCATTTAGTGGCATTACATTTGCTTAATCATTTATTCAGCAAACATTTTGAAGTGTCCCATCATGAACTTAGTATGCTAAATTAAGGAGTTTGAATTTTGTCCTATAAAAATGGGGGGGTGAAACAGCAGCTTTGCTTTTAGAAAGATAACAAACTAAAGAGGGGTGAGATGGTACGAAGTGACTATCTTCAGGCTGTTACACTGGACAGGGAAAGGGAACAATCACACACACATGGCAAAACTGGGGAAAATGAGGAGGAGGCTGACTTAGACAGGAAGTTCTGAAGTGACATGACACACTGACATAATTTGAGAGCAATTTAATATAAGGATGAGAGAGGGAGCAAAATCAAGTATCGTGTGGACCCTTCTGCCCAGGAAGAGTGAGAGCTCTACAGGGCCCGTCAGAAGTAACGCCTGCTTGAGTATGGTTGGTTGGGTAATAATACCCAACCCATATGGGTATGATCATTTATAGTTTTATTTTGAACTATAGTTTTAGTTTGACATTTGTCATATGGTGTGCTTCAGTGGGATATTGTTACATAATAGAATTACATGCTTTATAATTTTGTAATAAAAGACTTTATAATAAAAAGGGGCACTATTTGTGCTGGACCCTGTATGATGTAAAAATGGGAGTAGGCAGTATAAAGTCCCCAAAAGAAGCTGAATTAGTGACAAAAGTTTGGGACTAGCCAACATATAGCTGACCTTTCTGTACCTTAAACAGGCACAGGCATTAAGAGGCAGCTCCTCTGAATCCACATTCATGTCCTCTGAACCTCCTAATACACGGCCCGAAGGAGTGGTAGATGTAAGACAGACAGCTCTGTGGATATTGTTGGGTTTAAAACTTACTCGAAGAATCCGGGATTATTTCATCTGGAGAATGAAGTATTTGTGACGTCTCATCTGCTCTCTCTGCCAGGTTGTCTCCTTGAAGCCTGAATAATTAAAATATAATTACAAATAATTAGAAATGTGAACTACATACTGTAGGAGATGTGACTATTAACTTCTAGCCTCTCAAGTCAGACATGCTTCTTCAAAGTAGAAATAAAAGTTTACCAATGCCTTTGTAATACAGTGTTTTTGCTTTTCTAACCTTGACAAGTCAACCTTTTTCTCTTGTATGCGAGGGAAGGTTAGAGTAGGTAAAACTGCTTTCTTCTCAGCCTGACTGGAGAGGAAGGTTTACAAGCAAATGTCTCTCGACAACTACAAGGAAATGCATGGAAGAAAAAGAGTCTCACAGAGCATGTTCTCCTGTTTCCTGGGTCCAGGGCATGAGAAGATTTCCATTCTACACAGAGGGTTACCAAACCCAGGTCTCCAAATGGACCAACCCTGAGCTTTAAGGCCTGTGGATCAAGATAAGTCTCAATAGTGGAAGTGAAGATTCCTAATATGTGTGACTGCTTGGGGTTCTCGGAACACTGGGTCTTCTTTAGGAGAGAAAGGTACTTTTATGGCTATATTTCTGAGCCTCTGTATCCACATCTCTATAGTGAGAAAAACAGACTAGCCAAATCCAATTCAAATGGTATGGGTGTATATTACACTGTGAAACTATCAAAGGAGGCAGAGCTCATCAGTAAATGTTTGGAACTGTCTTAAAAACAGAAGAATAAGCTCTGCTAATGTGAAGGATATTGCATCAAACCATTCAGAGATTAGAGTTTTTTTTCTGTTCCTTTACCCTTTTCTTGCATTTAGCTGACAGCAAGTACACTCATTAAAGAATATTAATAAATGCATATAATATAGCATTAACATTTTTAATAATCAAATATAACTCATAACTGTACAATGCTCAAATATTTAAATTTTCAACCATTTTGTCTTTGCTCTTATATTCCCCAGTGGAACCACATAATAATTTGACTTCTGCATGTTAAAAATATGCATGTATCTTTCTTAAATGTATGTGCAACTACATTGTAAATTATACTTTCATTTGTATTTCTGTAAATTAAATTCTATATGTTGCTGTAATATTATACATTTATACTTACGTATTATCTTCTATATACAAAACTGCATTTACTTTATTATATAAGATAATTAAAATATTCTCAAGGGTAACTTTCTGACAGTTATAACATTTTTTGGTCAAATATATATATTTTTATACTTTAAAAAATTTTTCAATTATAGTTTACATTCATTACTCTTTATTAGGTTCATATGTATAGTGAAGTGGTTAGAAAATAATGTACTTTACAGAGTGGCAGCCACCTGGTCCCATACCTACCAATCTCATCTAGTCCCCATGCTGTAATCTACCTCCCTGTGGCTATTCTGTAACCATCAATTTGTATTAATCCCTTCTCCTTTTTCACCTGGTCCCCTGCCCCCCCTCCCTTCTGACAGCTGTCAGTCTGTTCTCTGTATCTGTGAGGCTGTTTCTATTGTTTGTTTCTTTATTTTATTCATAAGAGTTTCACATATGACTGAAATCATATGGTACTTGTCTTTCTCTGACTGGCTTATTTCACTTATAATAATCTCTAGGTCCATCCACACTGTCAAAAAAGGTAAGATTTTCTCCCTTCCTCCCTCCCTTCCTTTTTCTTTCTTCCTTCCTTCCTTCCTTCCTTCCTTCCTTCCTTCCTTCCTTCCTTCCTTCCTTCCTCTTCTTTTTCTTTTCTTTTCTTTTCCTTTCCTTTCTTTTATTTTCTTTCTTTTACAGCCAAACAGTATTTCATTGTGTATGTACCACAGCTTTTTAATCTACTCATCTGATGGGAAGTTGTGTTGCTTCCAAATCCTGGCTATTGTAAGTAATACTGCAATGAACATAGGGGTGTATATATTCTTTGGATACATTCACAGATAGCCAACAGACATATGAAAAGATACTCAACCTCACTAATCATCAGAGGAATACAATGCAAAGGAAAACCACAATGAGATGCCATCTCATACCTGTCAGAATGGCCATCATCAATAAATCAACCAACAATATGTGCTGGCAAGAATGTGGAGAAAAAGAAACTCTAATGCACTGTCGGTGGGAACACAGATTGGTGCAACCACTACAGAAAATAGTGTGGAGGTTTCTCATAAAATTCAAGTAGATTTTATACTTTTAACTAAGTTTTAAATTTTACTTGAAAAAAAGACCCCATAATTTTTAAATGAGTAATTTAGCTACATCCTAAGTCTGCCCATCTACTTCTTTATCTTTTTTACTTCTAATAATTAAAGTAAGTATTTCACTAATCAGCAATATCAAATATCCTTTTGTTTTTATTCCCTAGGCCTACATCCTCAAAATTATCAAAGATAGAATGTATGTAGGTACATGAGATATTAAAAGGCGTAAGTCAAGCCTGGAGAGGTGGCTCAATTGGTTGGAGCATTATCCCACACACCAAAAACTTTGTGGGTTACATCCCTGGTCAGGGCACCCACCTAGGTTGTGGGCTCAATCCCTAGTTGGGGTGCATGTGGGAGGCAACCACATTATGTTTCTCTCTCTTCCCCTTTCTCCCTTTTTCTCTCTCCAAACATATCCTCTGGTGAGGCTTAAAAAAAGGTGTTAATTCAAAATTATGAAATTAAATACCTGTTTGGGTATTTAACACTAGGTTAAAAAGCTAAATGGAAAATAAATCTCCAGTGAAGGCAGAAAGAAGCAAGGAATAACAAATAAGTTGTCATTTATTTTGCTCACTGCAAGCTTCAGTAAAAAGAAATATTTATTTAGCATTTATTAATATGCTCAGTAATCAGCCAAATGTTGTAGAGATGTAAAGCAATTACAACTGTCCCCGATTTCACAGAAGTCGCAATTTAGCTGAGTTGAAAAGACAAACGGCCATGAAAACAACCCAGCAAATTGGGTGGCCCTGAATCTGGCTCATCCTCGGCCAAGCAGTGCCCTCCGGGCACCTTAAGAGTTGAGTTCACCGTGACTTGGCACCAACCCCACTGCAGAACGCTTCACAGCCTGCTCTCCTCCAGAGCTCTGCCAGTGGTTCCCAAGCTGCAATCCACACAGCATAGCTTCTGTAACAGGTTAATAGGTGCTGTACAAATAAGGGTGGTGTGGGCAAGTCCAGGAAATACAGCCTTAATAAAAGTTAAATCATTTTCTTCCCTACAAGAGTTTTACTCAGACTCCCAGAGTTTTTCTTTTTGCTTTCTAAAACTCCTCTTCTGTATTAAACATTCTTCTCTATTCTCAGCCCCTCAGCAAAATGTATCCTGCTCCCCCTTGTCTTAACTGAAACCCTTTTCTCTTCTAAGAATATGATGTTCCTTTTTTCCTTTGAGGGGACAGTACCTCCTCTCCAAGGGAGGCTGCGTGACCCTTCTACCTCAGATAACAAGGAATTATAAATATTAACCTGTCACCCTTCTGCCATGAAAGCTCTGCATGGGCTTAATTTTTCCTTCTTCAACTCCCACGTTACTATTATCTTGAATGATTTTCGTGGTCATGTGTATTTACCCACTAATTTCAAAGTCCCTCGATCTCAGACCTGCAGATTTTCCCCTCCACTTCACCTTCTCTAACTCAAGGACAGAGAATCCAGAATTTACTGTGTCATCATCACCAAGCCCTTATTATATGAAATGTTAAAGGGACTTACCTAAGAAAAAGAAGATAAAAAAGATGAACAGTGAAAGGACAGCAAACTCACAGTTATTAACAACCACACCTAAAACAAAAGCAAACTAAGAGGATAGCTAGACCAGGAGCAGAACCATAGAAATGAAGATCACATCGAGGGTTAGCAACAGGGGAGTGGGAGAAGGAGAAGGGGGGAGAAGGTACAGAAAATAAGTAGCATAGATGGTAGGTAGAAAATAGATAGGGGGGCAAGAATAGTAGGGGAGACATAGAATCTAAAGAACTTGAGACACGTGGTCATAAACTAAAGGGGGGAATGGTGGGGGAGGGGTGTGCAGGGTGGAGGGGAATGAAGGGGGGAATAGAACAACTGTAATGGCGTAATCAATAAAATATATTAAAAAAAGAAATTATTGAATCTGACGCTCAGTTCTCAATGACAAACTCACACCCTTTAGGTTTTTTCACAAACTCACTGTCCTTAACACTTTCTCTTTGATTAAATATAGATTTCCACTTTCTCCCAGGTCTTTGGCCCCTCATGAGTCCCTTCCTGCTCTACTCAGCTGGACTTGGTGGTCCTCAGTTCCCATGCACCCACATCCTTCTATCATTACTGCCCATCCAGACCTGAACCCTGTATTCAGCCATCACTTTTCTGTACATGTGCAGGCGAACAATGCTGGAGACAATCATGACACTCTAGGAGTGGTGAGTATAAAACAATGGTCTCTAACTTTGAACTTGGTCTTCTTGGTTGTCTTCCATTCCTTTCAAAGTCTTTTCAACAGTATCACCTCCCTTCAATGTCATCCAGAAAAATTATGTATTTGGAATAAAGACCTTCTACGCCCCCCTCACACAGCACCTACAAAACTACCTTCAATTGGACCTATATTTACCTTTCCTTCTTTCTTATGGAAGGTTTAGACCAGGGGTGTCCAACTGTTTGGCGTCTCTGGGCCACACTGGAAGAAAATTTTTCTTGGGCCACACATTAAATATGTTGTGACACATAATCACTAAAAATAATCTCGTAATGTTTTAAATAAATTTACAATTTTGTGTTGGGCCACATTCATAGCCATCCTGGGCTACATGTGGCCCATGGGCTACATTTAGACACCCCTGGCAGACCAATCATCAGGCTGGTGATTTGAATCCTATCATTTCATATCCCACTTGGATTTTATTTTATAATATCCACCACTAGTCATTCTGTTCATCTTCACTGCTCATTTTCCACAGCATGAAACCAAACTCACTTCCTCTTCAGCTTTAAAAACAAACATAAAACAAAATCCCACCCATAATTATCCAAAACATCTAGCTATTGCTTCCTCTTGCTCATTCTTCTTTGAG